TCCGACCCAGGACTTAGGGCTCCTGGGTGTGAGGCCCCCAGTGTGCCCAGAGGACTTCTCAGCTGCAGGGAACCTGCCCACATGGTGCGCCAGCCACAGCCACACAGAGCGGAGGTGGCTGCATGCGTCCTGGGCCCCACGGCTCTGCGGTCGTCAGCCAGGCGGGAGGCGCTCAGAGGCCAGTGGGCAAATACGTCGCGCTGCAGCTGGCACAGGGGTCCAGGCCCCACAGAGAGGGGCCAGCCGGGGTAGGCAGGCCGTGGGGGCCGCTTCCCAGAGCCCACAGGGCCAGGTGTGTGGGACGACAGAGGCACTCCCTCTGGGTCACCGAGTCGCCCATCCCCACATCGGCGAGAGGCCCAGGAGCCGCTACCCCACGTGCACCAAGGGCGGGTCCTCCTCCAGCAACAGCGGCCGGTCCCCAGCAGTGCACACAGGGTCTGTGCCCGCTGCATACGCCGCTGCTCTGCAACCCCAGCACCCTCACCTCCGCCAGATGGGGCTCCTGGCCTTGCGGGAGATGACCACGCCTGCCACGGTGAGCACCAGAACCACCAGCAGCAGCACAGGCAGCAGCACGGGCAGCAGGAGGCTCCGGGACGCTGCAGGGCACACGGGGCAGGAGTCAATGGTGGGGGGCCTGGGGGGGGCCCAGGGACACAGCCCCTGCCTGAGCCGGCTTAGGGGGGCGCCTATCGGGGCCCCTCCCGCAGCCGAGCACCTGGCAGAGGGCCCTCGGCACTGAAACTCGACATGTCACACCAGCGATCCTGTGCCCAGGCCATAGGCCAGAGGGCTCGGCACCGGGTGGCCCCTGGCCCGCAGTGACTCACAAGAGGCCCCGTCAGGCTCTGCAGGCCGTGGTGCTATGGACAGCTCAGGGCTCAGTGGCCACTGGGGAGAGAGACTTTTGGGGGTGGGTGGCCCTGAGGTTCACAGGCCCAGGAGGGGACTGAGGCCCCAGCCTCTTCCACACCCTCCCCCCAGGACAGGGCTTCCCTTCTCATGTGGGGCCGAGAGGGACATGTGGGGACAGGATGCCTGGGATGACCAACCCGAAGGACACGCTCCCCGCTCAGCCCCTCCCAGGCGACCCGCGCCAGCCCCGTCAGGCCATCCGTACCCACGTGCGCGTGGGGCAGCCGTGCTGCACAGCTCGGCGGGGCCCAGCCTGGGTGGCAGTGGCACTGCGCCTTGTGGTTGCACACCTGGGGGGGAAGAGGCATCAGGCTGGGCCCCTGGACCTCCCGGGCCAGCACGGGCGCCACCTGCACAGTAGTCACAGGCCTGGCCTCAGGCCTGCTCCCCGGGGGCTGCGCGGAGGTCCGGGGTGGGCTGTCCTCGGGGTGTACCCCACCCTCTCCCGGACGGGCTCAGCAGGGCTGCTCCAGCCCCTTTCGTTTCCAGTTCTGGGTAGTGTGACCTTTCCTAGTCACAGACACGTCACTGGGAGCCAAGCACACTTGCCACACATCAGAAGAGAACAGCCCAGCTGACATGTCCACCAGCACCAACGTGTCCGGGCCTCGGCCTGCACAGGACTCCTGCCATGTCCCCGGGGGCTGGCCTCTGCCCTCTGTCCACCTGGGCTTGTCCTGAGCCAAGCCTTCAAGTCCCCTTCACCCCAAAGGCCCACGTCGTACCCCATGGCCGCTGCACTTGGCGGAACAGTTCTTGGATCTGTACACGTGGAGGTCCTGGCAGAGTCCCTTCCAGCAAACCTGGAAGGTGGGCGTGTCCTCAGGCAGCTGGCCTCTGCCCCTGCCCCCACGCCCCCTCGGCCGGCCAAGTCGACCTCAACACTGAGGCAGGCACGGCCCTCCGCCCACCACTGCCACCAGCACGACAAAGGGCCGGCCCCACCCGCTCTGGGGGGACACGCGGGACGGGGCGGGCGGTCTCCAGAGCTCCTGAGAGCAGAGGCCTCCGGGCCCCGCCCCGTCCTGCTCCGCCCCCGCCCGCTTCCCACCTGCGCTCACAGGGTGGTTTCCGCCTGGGCCCCGGGGTCTGGCAGGCCGACTGCCTCGGGGCACACGTCCATCTGGTCGCAGCCTCAGGAGCCCAAGGGCCACTCACCTGCTCCTGGCCGCACCGGGTGCCATCAAGCACAGGCTCGTATCCAGAGCCGCTCTCCAGGACGAGCGCCTGGCAAAGGGCCGAGTCCGCGGTGACAGAGCAGGAGCCTCGCTCCGGGGGCTTCCTGCCCCCCTCGCAGAGCAGGACGCCACACTTGTTGACGCTGTGGACAGAGGGACCTGCTGTGGTGCCAGCTGACTGTGCTCGGGGACCCGAGGGAGTGGTCAGCAGACAAGGCCCCAGGCCCTGGGATGAGCTGTGGGACCCCCCGGGCGGGGAGCCAGTGGGCGGCACGCCCAGGGGTGCTGCAGAGACCTGGCTCCAGTGTGCAGAGGACCCTTCTGGGTGGCCCCCTGTGTGGACGGCCCGTGCCCTGGAGCCAGGGCGTTGGCCTGGGCGGGACTCACCTGCGGGAGCTACGGGGTGTCCAGGTCCGGCAGTCTGGCGGGACGCTGTGTGCGTAGCACTTGTCCACGGCGGCCCACGCACCTGCAGGCCGGAGGCAGTCAGTCCCCCCGTGTGGGGCCCGAGGTCCCCACAGGCTCACCTGCTGCTCATGGCCGCCTCACCTGGCCCCCACAGGTCCTGGCACCTCTGGGCCAGCGTGGGACAGGCCCCAGCGTAGCAGTAGCCCCCAGGGCAGGGCGTGCCATTCTCCTGGAAGACGTCCTCCGGGCATGCCGGCTGCTGCCCATCACAGTGCTCCTCCAGGTCACAGGCATCCTTCAGCGGACGGCACAGCGTGCCAGCTGGCTTCACCTGGCCGGGCAGACCAAAGCTCAGTGGGAACAGCAGGCCCCCAAACACCCACACCTGCTGCTTTGCCACTGGTGTCCCGGGCCCCTTCGCACTGCTGACCTTAGGACATGGCGGGGTCGGGGGCAAAGGGGGCCTCTGGGGGCCCTGTGCTCACCCTGCACTCGTGGCAGCACGTGCCGTGGGCACACTCGGCCCCCTCGGCCAGCTGGCAGGAGGTGGCATTGCAGCAGCGGTTCTGGCAGTCCTGGGGGTGGGGACAGCAGGGAGGGTCTTGGTGGGCCGAGCGCTGGGCCGACACTGGGCTCCAGGGTGGACAGGCCCACAGGGAGGCCGTGGTTGCCTCTCCCCCGCCCCCCACGCCCCTGGATCTCCATGGCTCCTTGCGAGCCTCAGGGGACAGGAGTGGTCTGATGGTGGCCACAGCAATACAGGGCACCCCGACCTGTGGGATGGAGACCGGGCTCCCAGACGTGGGTGGAGGGCAGAAGGCGGTGCTGGGCGCCAGGCCCTGTACCTGGGGCTGGCCACAGTCACATTGCTCCCCGCGCTCCACGAAGCCGTTCCCACACACGGGGCCGCCCACCAGGCGGTCGGGGTCAGGGGCGTTGGCCAGGCAGGCTGTGCGGGGCTTCTCCATGAACCTCTCCAGGTCCGCCTGGCTGCAGTGGCTGAACCTCCTGGGGAACGCGGAGCTGAGGGGGAGGGTTTGCCGTCAGGGGAAGGGTAGGTGGTGGACAGGACACCACCCCCGCCGGGTGGTGGCCCTCGGTCCGGCTGGACAAGTCTCACCCGATGCTGGCCGCCATGACGCAGCCGCCACGGTCCCGAGATTCGGGGCAGTAGCAGCCCTGGATGTCCTCGTCGTGGTCCATGCCCAGGTTGTGGCCCATCTCGTGGGCCATGGTGCTGGCCACACCGACGGGGTTCTGGCTGTGGTCCTGCGGGGAGAGGCTGTGAGGGCCACGGCTCCCCTCCTGCCGGCCCTCGGCCCTCGCTGCTCCGGGCAAGCCCGAGTGAGACGCTTGGTGACACTTCCTGCCAGCAGCACTTCTTAAAACATAGGACACACACCCTCCTGAGAAGGCAGCTGTTCGGGAGTTCGTGGGGACAGCTGGGGACCAGCTGGTGGACCCGAGTGCTGAGGTCTCCTCCCCTCCCCACCCCGCCACGCACCCAGCTCAAGCGCCAAGGCTGGCTGCCCGCCCCGCACCTGGCTCACAGCCGCCGAGTCCCGGGAGCACATGGTGGACACCTTGGCCAGTCCCACGGTGTTCCCCGTGAAGTCGACCCCGCTGGAAACAGGATGAGAGTGTGCGGGCCGGCCACCGCCGCAGCCCCCCGGGGAGACCCTGGGGCCGCCGCGCTCTGCGCACTCACGTGATGAGCTGCGCGTTGTCGTGGGGGTGTCGCCCCAGCAGGTGCTGCGCCCGCCAGGCCAGGAAGTTGTCCAGCGTGGTGCTGGCCTGGCTGCTGACGTCGATCTTGTCGTTGTGGTTCCAGATGTCCAGGCCCACCAAGACCACTCGGAATCTGAGCTCCTGGTAAAGCTGCGAGGGGACAGGGACCCACGGTCAGGCCCCGGGACTGCGAGGCTGGGAGTCTCCCTGGCCTGTGGGGCCAACACTCGCTGGCAGCAACCAGGGGCTGTGCTGGGCGGGGTCCCAGGCTCCCTCCTGCAGACACCTCTCCAGGCACCCCCTCCGCCCTGGTTGTCGAACCAGGATTTCTGTCCGGCCGGGCAATGCCTGGGCCGAATGGACCTGGGCTGCCGGGGTCCCGGAAGCCTGGCCTGTGGGAGCCCCTTGGAGGAACCGCACCCTACAAGCAGCCCACCTTGTCCACGTGGTTGATCACCTCGAGCACCCGCCTGCGCACGGCTTCTCTGCTGCCCAGCTGCTGGAACTGGAGCGCAGCCAGTGAGTCTGCAG